TAAAAAAGAATCAGATAAATAACTGTGTGTTTATTTCTGGTAATCAAAGGACATTCATAATGGAAGGACCTAAAAAGCAGGTCGTTCAAATAGATTGTTCATTCTTCCTCACAGCATTTAATACAGGAAGACTGGAGGGACAGAGTATGTACCAGTGTGTGTGGTGGTTTAAAATCTGATTCATCAAACAAGAGATGACATGAAATTCTAAGTAGTTGAAGGCCTGGAATATTCAGACACACCTTTTTAAAAGACTGAGTTCTGGTGAAACCAAGCTTTCTTTATAGAGATTTTCTTTTATACTTCTACATCTCCTGTTTCACAGAAGAGAAAAATCTGTCTGTACTACTCCCATCTATTGTTTTATTGTAGTATCACTTCTGTTGCAYCTCAGCTTTTACTTTTCCCCTTGTTATTCCCCTCTCAGGCTCAGCAAAATCTTTCCATTATGATGTGAAACAGCTCCACCCTTGTTCTCCTCCCCAGCCCTCCCTCTCATCCGCCTTTGTTGCCGTTTCCAAAACAACAGGACCTGGCAGTGGTAGAGAGCTGACAGACCTTCCAGTCTCCAGTTCCCAGTCCTTCACCACCTCAGGATGCCTGCACACACCAGTGTCACACCCGTGTTACACACCTGTGTTACACAAGTGTCACACAATCTGTGTTACACACCTGTTAGATCTGTGTTACATGCCTATGTTACACATCTRTGTTTTATCTGTGTTACACACCTGGGGTACACACCAGTGTTGCACCTGAGCCTGCAAGGTCTGATCCCTGATAGTGACTTTAATTAGTATTATCCTAGTTTCAATTATGCTTGAAAAATAACAAAACCAAGGAAACCTTCCTCTTCTCTACTGCTGTCACAGTGACCAGCATAGCTCAGAGGGGAAACTTTGCCTTCATAAACTGAAACAATGTTTTGGCCTCGTGCAGAACATTCATTATTTCTACCTGTAATTGATTAGTTCCTTATTATTTCATTTTACCAMATATTGGTATACTAATGGCTTCGCATTAAGCATTCAATAAGATCACATAGCAAAATATCATTTTGGCTACTACAGTTACCCTGTCTGCTTGAAACAATTATTTTGTCCGTTTATTTGACTATGGATTCCTTGGCATTTCTTGTTCATTGAATGCATAGAAGCAATGGTTTATTCTAATTTTAATACTGACTACAATTTTAATGCGTTTTTTCTGCWAACGTCATGCCTAAATAGTTACAAACTTCAAAGTATATTTAATATGAGGGAACCTATCTGGAGCTAGGCTTCAGCCTTTCTGATGCACATGTAATTGCATTGGCTTACACAGGTACAACTGRTTTTGTTCTGTAGGAAGACCTCTGGACTTCAGCAATCTTTCATTTTATATTTTGTAGAGAAATTAAGCCTGAACACCAGGCAAAGTTTTCTGCTTGCAGATAGAAAGATGGAATTGGCATACAGGAATAATCTTTCTTATTTGAAAAACTGGTTTCCATTTTWACCATGATGCCTGACATTTACTTTAAATGCACAGGAGTCGGTCTCCTGGGTTTGAGAAACCTCATTGATTTCCAGAGTGATAGTGTAGGACAGCTAATATGCTCTTTAGCTCTATAAGGGATATGATTAGTCCTGTCTGCTTGGTCATTTATCCTCTGTCTCACAATCACTTGTCTCTCTTCCCTGTTGCAGAAGGTGCATTATTTACATGCTAATAATCAAAATAAATCCTGAAAACTGCATCTTTGTTCCACCTGMTACACCCAGCACAGGCAACTCCATACTAGAATGGTTTGCTTTGCATCCTGCTTTTAAAAACTATTGGTTCCACATTGAAACCACTGTTCTAAAAACTATTACTTACAGCATTCGATAGCCCTATTTAGCATGAATGCTCCAGCTTTACAGTTTGTAAACAAAGCTGGATGAGATGGAACTGTTGAGAGGCAACAGAATTGCACTATCAGGAGACAGGAAGTATTCAAAGCTTCAGAGAAKACCTAAAAATAGCAGTGCCTCTCAGCCATGTTTCGAAATATCAATACACAGGCCGCTAGCAGCAAGCAGCTGAAATTACTTTATAGAAGACACTTTTGAAGCACAAAGCAGTCTGTAATAGCTCTTCTATTCAGAATAAAAATTCTTATCCTTAGTTGTGGTTCAAATGTTTATGTATAAATATTTTCATATATATATATATTTCAGATAGTCAGTCATATTAATAAATAGGTGTAATATTTCTATCAAAAGACTCGRTCAAATTCGTTGAACTCCCAGTTTCTAGGAGTTGGCTGATAGCATACAAAATTCAATTTAGTGTGGACGCCTATAGYAGAGAGAATAACTGTCAGACGTTAGTAATATTAAAGATTCGTGCATTAGTGCAGCAGGATTTAAAAAAAAAAACCAAAAAACAGGGTTTTGTTTTCAACCAATGTTTTTCCTATTTTGGATACTCAAATCTAAGATTATTCATTAAAATAATTTCAAAAAACTCAACATTTTCAAATCCAAACATTAAAGTTTTGCTGTTTTTTAAAGCATGCGAATAAAACATTAGAGAAGTTGCTGAGGATGACCTCAAACAACTCTGAATTTCATGCCTTTATACACATAATAAATCTGTACACCTCACATACAGTTACTACACTGTGAAGAATATATGGCTTGAATATAAAGGAAAAATAACCTTTAAAGACATCTTTATTTTTTCCACCTGGCTWCTCATTTTGTTGCTAGACATAAAGTCCACAGAAGTCCTCTCTAATAAAAAAATAAATGGTTTTAGGTATTCATCCATTGACTACTTGAAAAAAAAAAATTCAAGTTTTTTAAAAATCAATTCTGGCCGGCTCAATTATCATATATTCAACAGGGTGGAAAGGACTAAATGCCAGAAAATGCAATTCCCCCTCTATTTCTTTAACCTGCCCAAATTTAATTTCTCATTCACAGGACTCAATAATTATATCACTTCAGTGACTCCACAGTCAGTCAGACACAGCCAGCATGCAGGGTACAAATGTCAGCATGTGCCAGGGWTGCCTTGCAGGTAAAGCAGCTGTTTACAAGTGCATCTCAAAAGCAATAAAGTGATTCTCCTAAATACAGGATTCTGCTGATAGGAACACAGTTCCTAAAAGAGAAAAGCAACTTCATTTTGACCTCAAATTCTATTGGCTGTAAACATACTTAGCAGCACGGAATCCACAAAAAAACCATTAGAATAAATTGAGCTTTAACATAATGAAATATTTAGGTCTGAGCTGATTAGTCATTTCTGCTCAGCAGTGGAAATGGGTAACAGTCCCACTTTCCTATGTGAAATGAAATATGATGCAGTGTAAGTTGATTAGTAATAATTATGAGCTGATGTTCTCCTACCTCCTGAACAACAGGAGACCTGTGCTATCAATTTTAGATTTTCTGTGCTCTAACGATTCAAACACATTATATGCAGGTTGTCTGTGTGGCCACTACAGATTCTCCCATTTATCTAAAAATTAATTTAGACAGATTGATTTCAAAATTCCAGTAGGAGCTAAAAGCTACWGGATGGCTACTGAATTAGTCCAGAGTCAGAGAATATAGAGCAAGTCAGAGACATCATAATAAAATTTCCTTCCTTAAATCTCAATTGAGCAATTTTTCTTCTTCTCTTCCCCCCCTCTTTTTCACCACCAAAATTGTTTTTGAAGCTCAGTTTTATTACAAACATCAGTTTATTCATGAAATTATTTGAAGAAGAGTCAGGGAAATTTATTGTCTCTCTCATTGAATTAGAGAGAGATGAGAAAAGAAATTTAAAAGGACAGTGTTTCAGCACTGAGACTGTTTGTCTGGAAGTTGTGCAATCTCCACAGTTTTGATAGTCACAGCTTCACTGGACAAGACCCTGAGAAGCCAGATCTACCTTAGAATTGGCTGTGCTTTGAACCAGATGGCTGGATGATGATAATGAGGGCTTAATTTACAGAAGTATCTTCCAGATGATACCCCTTGATCCAGATACAACTTTCCTGAATAATTTCATTATTCAATCTAATTTTCAATGAATAATTACCATAGCTGGTTTACATATTTTAAATAATCATATTTTAAAATGATAGATCTATATAAGAAATTAAAATTTGAGAGTTTGAGAAAACCATTTCAGGCTTCACTTAGGACAGGATTATTTTACACATTGACAACTTCATTTTCTGACTGCATCACACTATAGTTGACTAGAAGACAACAAGATGACACCTTTCCTCTGTGGAAGCTTCATAGCCTCACTGTTATCACAAAAAAGAAAATCTTTGAAACATAACCTRAGAGCAGCCAATGCCAAGTTATCACCCATACCTACAATGTTCCACATTTCTACAGGAGAGGAGAATACAATTTGACATATTTTTAAATTATRCCAGTCAGTGCAAAAACAAACACAAATCATGTGTTAAATATCAGCCTTTCTAGTATTGTAAAGATGCAACAATATTAACTGTAGTTGTGAATTATTCACATTTTATCTGATTATTTTAGTTAAAACTGAGTCAGCTATACACCCAGAGCTGTTAACATGCTCATATATAAAGATATTCACCAGCACAGGATTAATATTCTCTATCAGTACTTTTTCATCCTTAGTTTTRGACACTGGTTTGTCAAAAAGAGCCCATGCATGCATTAAGAAAACAGATTAGACTTCAYTGGGCATTTCCATGATTAGTGGGAACCATTTTACAGCTAACATGAGTAAATATTAACACTAGTCAAGTGAGATGAATTGAAGAAATTGTATCTGATATATCTCTGTGACAGATATTCCATCTCCACAAAAAGCAAACCTTTCAGGGTAAGTACCAAGAAAGGATCAGCACTAATTTGAAACTTCACTGATTCATCTAACAGACTTAAAGACTGTGGTATGGAAACCCACATCCAGTTAATAGCTCTGTGAATGTGGGTAGTTCAGAGGTATCTGGCACCTAGAGCAGCTTCAACAGAGAATCATCTTACCCTTCCACAGAAATGGTCCGCTGCAAGCTCACGGTGGGTGGACGYGTTGCAGTGCTGTGCTGGGAATGACTGGACGGCCAAGGAAGAATAGAGAAAAGCATTTGTTAAAGAAATTGAAGTTTCTCTTGCTCTTATTGTCTCTAGCAGTTTAGCTAATGCCAAAACAGATAGAACAATCAGATTGTTTTACACGTATCTAAAGCATTTTGACTTCAGYGATGCTCATCTGGGCTTAATTGTACAATCTCTCTTGTTTAAACTTAACTTTCATTTCTCATTAAGAGCAGAAAATTAAGAGACTAACTCCCCCTTATAATCTTTCTTATTCATTTTTAATACATATATATTCATACACAGAGTTTAGTAATTTAAAATAACTTAAATTCTAATTWTTCCACTAAATACACTAGACATACAATGCAAATTTAATTTGAGAACAAAAGGTAAAACAGCAAATGAYAATGCAATCTAATTCTCAGTGTTTCTCATTCTAAGAGGACATGCACTGCTCACAATTGCACCTTGATGTAACTTCAACACTAATTCTATCAGATTTAAGTAGCTTGAGTCTTTCCACATGGATCYTTATTAATCTAGGTCACAACATTTAGGAAAAAAAACCATGATATTTTCTAAGCAAAACACAGAGTCCCTGAAAGAAAAAGCTTTATGATTGAAAACCCTGAGGTCTAATATCTTTTCACATGTTATATTGACATAACTAAGAAATCTGAGCAATAATTAATACATTAAACTACACAGTATGTATTAACTTCAGTATTGCACTATGGTATAATAGTAATGCAAATACAAATGGATAACAACAGAACATCAGTCAAAGGCAGTTTTCTGATAATAAATTACTCCTTCCCCATGACAACCTGTTTAAATAAAGTATTAAAAAGCAGAAGCATCTGGATTTATCTTCTGATTAGTTTAAATGACTACAGCACATAGTGAGAGCCAGTATTAATAATGCAAAGTACACAATAAAAATAAAATTTGTGCCAGTTTTATATCACTGATTCTAATAACTGAAGGCTTTGTCTTGCATTCAAACTCTGTCTACATCTCCAGCTGCTTATTTAGAAGAAGCACATCTTATTTTCRATAGAAGCCTCTTCATTTGACAATAGTGACCAACATGTCTATTTTACATGGATTTCATCCTGTAGCATAGTCAATACTGTCTGTCTGACAGGAAAAAAAAGGCTTTTTCTGTGTGTAGCCCATAGAGTTGTGACCCATGCCATGGGACAAACAACAGTTCTGCTGCCTCCTGGTATTTCCTGCTGTGACAATTGTGCTCTTGTTTCATGTTAGTAAAGTACTCATCCTTACTGGGAGAAGGTTTCAGAACGTTTGTGGAAAAGTATTTTCCCCTTCTAAGAACTACAGAGTTTTTAACCTGTTTTACAGCAAAATTTCTTCAGAAGTATTGTATTTTTCTGGTGTGACCAGAATAGTTGAGTTGGACAAAGCCTGCAGAATATTTTATGAATATTGATTAAAATTTCACATTAAGTGTGCACATACCAGGAACTTTACACCCCACTCCTGCCAAGTGAGGGGCTCAGCTATCTGCAATATTCCACGCATTAGAAAACCTTTTCCAATCCTAGGGATTTGTGACACAGCATTCAAATGAACCCTTACCTTCTTTCATGAAAGTAGTTCAGAACTGATGATATGAAAAATAWTTTTTTTGTACATAATTATAAGAAGTTTGTTGCTTGATATAAGCTTATGCCTTCTAAGGTATTACCATCATGAATTGAATGACACCTAAAAATCTAAAATGCAGTTTAATCACTGCCTGACACAAACAGCTGTTGGAGACAGAAATGGTATTCTGATGTGATTCCTAACTGATTTATAGCAAAGATAACCTCCTGGTGAATTCTATCAAACTGATGGAACCAGYAGAAAGAAGCTCTTTCTATCATGTACTTAATATATTTGTGCATTTGCCATGTCTTATGCAGCACAAAAGAAAATAAAGCTCTTCAGTTACCGGCATTTTCTATGATGAATGCCTAAACAAATGCACTTACATCCCTACTGAGATAGTGTAAAACTATGCCACTTAACCTGACAGATCAAAGTATTCAAAGTTTGACATTCTGGCTTGCAAAAATGCTACCTTTTCTCTGAAATGATACAGAATGGACCTCCTCCTAGTTTTAATAACATAAAGCAGCAATATTTCAATATACTGCCCAGTACTGCAGCAACACAAGATGGATTTTCCCTGAAGAAAAGAATCTTATGTCCTGTAAAAGATCAGTTTTAAYTTAATTCCATTTTATTTTAGCTCATTGAGACAAGGGGAACATGTTATTCTTGTAAGRCAATTATAAGAGTGAAGGAGCAAAGAATGAGATTATAAATTAATAATAAGGGGCAAAACTGGGAGCAAAGAATCCAAACCTCTTTTTAATGGCTTTCAGYTGCTTTTTGTTTTAAACTTATTTCTCAGACAAGGCAAACCATTTCATTACTTCAAAAATACTAAAAATAGGCCTGATGCCCACAGATTTTTGAAAATATTTATTATGAACATATAAAATCAATAAGTACTATAGAAACAATAAGGTGAATAGGCAGTATCCTTAGTTTTAATTCTGTTCCAGCACAAGAATGCTCTGAAGGCACTTGTGCTGTGTGGGTGATGTTGAAACTGGAGGCAGCATCACAAACCCTTTTTTCCCTAGAGGGACCACAAGAAACACCACCACCTTCCCTTCCCTTCCCTTCCCTTCCCTTCCCTTCCCTTCCCTTCCCTTCCCTTCCCTTCCCTT